GATAAAGTTCCACGGCGGCCATTTTTCAATTATTAACCTGACCAGTATTGTAACTTCAGATTAAATGGCCATTCCAAGGGCTTTTAGCGTCTCGACAAGAGGGTTTAAAATGGTCCCAAATGATGAAGTAAAGGTGGGGAGTTGGGGGAAGGGGGAGGGGAGGAGGGGAGAGGGGAAGAGGAGGGGTGGAGAGGGAGGAGGGGGAGGGGGAAGAGGAGGGGGTGGAGAGGGGAGGAGGATAAAGGGTGTGGAAAGTGAGTTGGTGAAAAATGGGAGAGGAAGAGAGAGTAACATTGGATAAGACGTAAGTGAGATTAGAGAAGGAAGGAAGGAAGGAGGGAAGGAGGAAAGTTCAGACCCTAAAGACGAAGGAGATTAACTAAACAAAAGAAATATAAATATCAGCAGGAAAGAATATATAAACAAATGAGAGAGAGAGATATGTCAAGGAAACAAGGACTCTGGCATATGACAGTCTGCCATGACACAATAGGTAGTAGGCAGTAGGCAGCTATCAAACAAGGAGGTACTACCGCCTGGGGAGATATTGGAAGCATACATGTAATGTACTGTCTAATGGTAGACCCTGCTGCCTTATGGCATCACGAAAATTGTGACCAAGTCCCAGGTTGCTGATCTGACTTCTGCCTCATTTACACACAATTGCAGGGTCTCAATTGTTTCTCTTACTTTAACAACACAACATACATAATGTATATCGTTTCTCAGTCATGATTTAATTTTTTCGTTTTCGTATTTATTCATGGTTATTATCATTTTTATTATTTTATTTTTATTTTTATTTTGTTATTAATTTGTATTAATTATTATAATAATAAAAGTTGTTTTTATTGTTATTGTTATTATTATTATTATATTTTCGCCCCCCAGGCCCCTATGTGGGTCAGTGACCTGTGCCCGGGTGGGCTAATCCCCGTAAAAACAAACACACACACACACACACACACCAGAAATATCCCATAAATTGTTACATTACTCTTAGAATATAAAACAACAAGAATTTTCATTACAACATATTATAGTCCGTTAAGTGCAAACCAGCGTTAGCCGGCACTAATAATTACAGGGCCGGATATTATACGATGAAAAGGTACAACTAAATCATGATTTTTAATGTGAGCGAGAGTTGAGGTGTGTGTTAACCAAGGGCCACCAACATGCGGTAACTAATCTATTAATATTCAGTTCAGCTGTTATCGAATCAGTGGACGACGGGCACGATTATGATGTGGTATATCTCGATTTTAGCAAAGCCTTCGACAAGTCCCCCACGAAAGACTAATAAGAAAAGTGGAGGCCCATGGCATTGGAGGAGATATTCTAAAATGGATTAAGGCGTGGTTAAAGGACAGGAAACAGTGAGTAAACATTAACGGCACTAAATCCGATTTGAGTAACGTCACTAGTCAAGTACCCCAAGGCTCAGTACTTGGACCATTATTATTTATTATATACATAAACGACATAGATATAGGCGTAGACAGCAACATAAGTAAATTTGCTGGTGACATTAAAATAGGGCGTATAATTAAATCTGACGTGGCCTACGCAAAACTACAGGAAGATCTAAACAAATTTTTCGAATGGTCTGAAAAATGGCAGAAGAAATTTAATGTGGACAAATGTAAAGTACTCAGTTTACGAGATGTAAACAGAGAAACCAGATGAACAACGATGTTATGGAGAAATCTGACTATGAGAAAGATTTAGGAGTAATGATAAGTAGGAATCTTAAACCAAGTAAACAATGTGTAGTTACAAGAATAGCAAGGTCATCCTAAAACTATATATTGCGCTTGTGAGACCTTACTTGGATTACGCAGTTCAGTTCTGGTCACTGTACTACAAACTGGATATATAATCCCTTAAAAGAATTCAGAGGCGAATGACAAGACTAATCCCGACCATCAGGAACCTTGAGTACAGAGACAGGTTAATGCATCTTAATCTGCACTCCCACGAGAGACGTAGAGTGAGGGGCGATATGATCGAGGTGTATAAATGGAAGTCAGGGCTAAACAAATGTGATATAACAAAGGTACTCAAACTATCCAACCAGGAGCGAACTCGTAACAATGATTTTAAATTAGACAAATTTAAATTTAGGCGCGAAATAGGTAAACATTGGTTTGGAAACAGAGTAGTGGATGAGTGGAACAAGTTACCAAAAATCATCATTAACTCGAATACGCTTGATAGCTTCAAACATAGGTTGGATGGATATATGAGCGATAGGGGTTGGGTGTAAATGGGACAGCCCAGTATGGGTCAATAGGCCTGCTGCAGTTTCCTCCATTCTAATGTTACAAACTGAGTTACTAGCCAATCATCTTCTCGCATGCTTAGATTTAGCTTCAATCTACACTCACAGCCTGGCTAATCAGTCCCAGAGTCGGGTTAATCCACACTTCAACTTGGCAACTCAGTCCCAGAATCGGGTCAATCCATACCACATATTGGCTAATAAATCCACGAATCGGGTTAATCCACATCACAGCTTGGCTAATCGGACGCAGTGGGTCTTCTCATGCCTCTCTCTCTTCATCCTAGCAAGGATATGTATCGCCTGTCCTCAAAGAATAAGACACCCCTGCCCCTACACACCTCACTACACCCACACTATCACCTTTGTCATAAAACACTTCTACACCTACAAGACACTACCACACACCACTACACACACACACCTAAAAAAACACAACACTTTCGCCTATACCTCAAACACCCCCCCCCATAACATAACGTAGGTCAGGTCAGGTCAGGTCAGGTAAAGCAGAAGTAAACCCTCCCTCTTACTGCACCAGTCACGTCACCACCACCTGTCCCCAGATGGTTCCTGTCAAACACTAACCCGCACCAGCTTCACCCCTGTGTACACCAACTGTACAATCATCCACCATCACCCAGTGTCTGTAGGTGAAACTCATGACCAGAGCCACTTGGAGTGTGAGAGGGTTATGAGAGGGTGGAAGAAGGAAAGGGAGTGAGAAGGATAGATGGACAAGAGAGGGATGAGAGAGGTAATGAAAGGGTGAGAGGTAGGGGAGGGAGAAGGACGTAGCACGGGAACGCCGTTCAAGGTCCACCAGTAAGGAACTCCAGTATGGGATTCCCAACGACCCACGCGGGAAAGGGAGTCAATAAGTGGCCAGTTCGATGCGACGGGGAGGAGGAGGGGGGAGTGCAGAAAGGAAAAAGAGGGAGATGAGGGAAGGACGGAGAGGAGTAAGGGGAAGAAAGGATGGGAGAAGTAGAGGTGGGGTAGCCACGAGGAATATAGAATAAAATGAGAGGGCGAGATAGAGGAGGGGGGGAGGGTCGCCACGGGTCAGTGATAGGAGACAAGAAAGCGGCAGGAAGAGGAGGGGTAGCTAGGAGGGAAGGAATAGGATGAGCAGCAGGGAGCGGGAGGGGGTGAGTTAGGAAGGGGGAGGAGGACGGAGAGAGTGAGAGTTAAGAAGAGGAGTGGGAGAGTTGCAGCAGCGCCGGCGATGGTGGTAGTGGAGGCGGTCTGGTGAGGGAGGAAGGGAGGGGTAGGAGTGTTCACACGTCATGCAGGGTCAATGACAGAGTGACCGCAGCAACTCCAGAGAATTATCTCTTGACCACACGCGTACTGCACCTGTCATGCCACCCTACATTTGTCATGTCATCCCACACCAGCTGTCAAAGTAATATACGCCTGTCATGCCACCCTACACCTGTTGTCAAAGTCGTATACGCCTGGAGCGTTATCCTACACCTGCTGCCAAGATCATATACGCCTGCCATGCCACCCCACACCTGCTGCCAAGATCATATACGCCTGCCATGCCACCCCACACCTGCTGCCAAGGTCATATACGCCTGCCTGCCTGCCACCCAACACCTGCTGCAAGGGCACACCTCTAATGCTACCCTACACCTGCTGTCAAGGTCATACACATACCTATCATTCCACCCTATACCTGTCAGGGTCACACACGTCATACCAGCCTACATCTGTCGAGGTCAATCACCTGTCACACCAGGGGAAAGGGACAGGCAAGGGTGTGGGCGTGACGGGTGGAGGGGCGTGATTCACTGCCTGTCACGGCCTCCCTCACCAGTACAACCTGTCTGCCGCCCTGTCACAACTACAACTTATCTGCTTAATATATTACAACTATAACCAGTCTACTTTATCATAAACAATGTCTGCTGCTGCCTGTTTAAGCTATCACACCTCTGTCTCACGTCACGACTACAACTTATCTGTCACTGCCTGCTTCACCTGTTACAACCACACTATCTACATTTGTTACTTTGTCTGCTTTATGTCAACACCTCAACCTGTCTGCAGGTACTTGCTTACTTCATCACAACCTATCTGCCGTTGTCTGCTTGGCATGTCAACAACCGCTCTCCGTGTACCCACTTCTTGCTACACACGTCAACAACAACTTAACACAAGTGATACTCATTACGAATTATCAACTTCATATAAAATAAAAAGTAAACAACAATGCCACAACGCCTTCTGTATCCGTCCATCATGCTTTAATGATAGATTAAAACCATCGAGTACTGTAAAACGTGAACTAACATGATTGTATTATAACAGGAAAAACATATCAACAAATGTCTTACACAGAACAAGTTATTATCGTATGGTGGTGCAGGTATACAGGTAAGGTATAAACGTATAATAATACACAAGAACAAGTTTACAATGCAAGAAGTACACTGAAGGAAAGTGCGCTCCCCGCTGTGGCTGGCGGCGAAGCAACTTTCCTACCTCCCCATACTCCAGTACTCTTGGGCCTCAAAACAACCACGTTCATTCACTGGCCGCAGTCAATACGTGACATTTTCACCAAGCCACTAATGAGTATAAAGATGTAACCAGAGTTTTAAGCCGGTAATCTTTTGTGTCTTCAAGTAATACATAATTTTCTAGGTGTATTTTTCATGGTTCTCAAAACAATACAACTGCCAACATCATAATTCAGTAGCCTCACCGATCACTGTGGTTTTCACTCAAGGTTGTCACCGAGGGTAAGTGTCGGGTGTGAGAGGAGGCTGGCGCACCCTCCCTCGGTCACTGCTCGAGCCACACTATTGCTGCGGCCATCACCTTACTTCGCCTTTAGGTCGCGGTGTCTGCAGTTGCCACGTGTTAATTTCAAGCCATGAAAATGGCATCGATGTTTAATGTCAATATCTTATTTGTATTCCCTCTTTACGTTTCTCAACAATAGTTAAAGTTTACATACAAGCCTGGATATAAAACAACGCTGATTAATTTCAGATGGACATTTATCTTGCAGCCCACGAGGTCATCCCATCAATGGCGACGCGCCAAGACTAACTGGTAACCGAACCCTCCTGAGGTGCCATGCGTCGTCGCCGATAACAATTACCTATATATCATCCCCAAACATATAATAAGCAACAACGGCTGTAGCTACTAAGGCAATAATACATATGTATAATAAGTGATTCAATACAGGAGTAACAGGAAAGGGAGAAACATGGCGAGCAGGAGGTGGTGCAGGGCGCTGTACATCGATCTACCAGACACTGCTACCTGCCAGAAGTTAGATGATGTCCGGTTTTCACTCGCACTCACATCTTGGTAAATTGATTCTACAATATTAATGACCGGGCAATTATTTATAAATTAATTCCTTTATTCAATTATTAATAGGCGTTATCAGTTGCCAGGCTTCTACTCTAGTTGTGTTTTAGTAAGTAGTAATAATTAATCCCTTTCCACGTGATACAAAATGGTATATGTGTTGCATGCTGGAAACTCGTGATCCCTCAATGACATAACTTATTATATTTCTGTTAAAACTATTGATAATTATTCAAGTGAGCCAAATTACTGTACACTTGGTCATGACGTCATTAATATACACATCAAAGATAACAGTAAAACGTTTATTGTCGACCACCAGAGAAATTATTTTAACATTCACCTCGTTATTATAGATCAAACTTTTCATTATATATTTGTTTAAGGCCTCATAATAGACTACAAAACATAACAAAAAAATAAAACAAGTTCCTGCAGCTCGCCTCCAGTAAACCACTCAACAAACATCACAAACAACTCGTAAGTAATGCCACAAAACCCACGCAAATAATAACAATTCTCTTATCAGTTAAATAAAGAATGTATTAGCACCGAGAGAGCTGAACCGACAACCCAAGACTCATATAAATACAGCAGTTACCCCACAATGAAACTCTTAACATTAAACTTTAGATATAATAACAAACAAACGCAACGAAAAAAAAAATTAAGAAGCTCATGAATAATAATTAAGACAAAAACAAACAAATATAAACACCCCGATAATTACCCCAAATAAATACTCATCCGAACACAAAAGTATAATTGAAAAATGAACAAGTACTTAACTGACTAGCTAGAGTGAGATATGTAATATTTTTAAGTGATGATGGACGAGTGTAATTTACTAACATTATTACGCGTTATGACCTTAGCTGTTTATGCAAAGTAATAACATTATAACGTCAACGGGGTGGGTGGGGATGAATGAGGGGTGGTTGAGTGGATTGGGTGTGAGTGAGGGGTGGTTGAGTGGATTGGGGGTGAGTGAGAGGTGGTTGAGTGGATTGGGGGTGAGTGAGGGTGTGGTTGAGTGGATTGGGGTGAGTGAGGGTGTGGTTGAGTATTGGGGGTGAGTGAGTGAGGGTGGTTGAGTGGATTGGGGGTGAGTGAGGGTGTGGTTGGATTGGGGTGAGTGAGGGGTGGTTGAGTGATTGAGGGTGGTTGAGTGGACTGGGGGTGAGTGAGGGGTGGTTGAGTGGATTGGGGGTGAATGAGGGGTGGTTGAGTGGATTGGGTGTGAGTGAGAGGTGGTTGGGTGGACTGGGGGTATGGGTAAGTGAGGGGTGGGGGTGGATAATTTAAGCTATAGAACAAAAGGACCAGTTAAAACTAATATAAAAATATACCAAGCCACTCTCTATCTTAACTAGATACGGCCACCCTCTCCTGACACATACCAACACTCACATATCGTCACCTGGATGTAACGTAAAATATCCTCTTATTCTCGTTTAGTTACTAGAAATCTCACGGAGGGTTGTTGAGAATGTTCACACGAGATATTGATTATATACATGTAAATTACAGTACAACACACTGCCATAAATATTGTATTGCCAAAGTCATATAACAATAGGGTAGTCACGACACGTCAGCCTCTACCACCGTCGACCATATGGCTGTGTACAGTGTGTCTTCCTCTACCACCTGCCTCCACACACACACATAACAACCCTCACTTCATCTACTCTTAAAAAGCAACAACATAACGTACTTGTTGGTAAAATTCGACAGCTAAACTTCATTCATTATGTTCTAGCTATATTTTAGTTAACCCAATATTTGTCTTTCCTTTCCTTTTGCAAATGATATGAACCAACCAAACTTAACCTAACCTAACCACAACTGTGTTAAGGATTATTAGATTACATTTACCATACAGTACGTGATTCATGTCTGAAATAGTTTAAACATTCGCCATCCGGATAATTTTCCAACATGGTACCATACATCTTGCCCCGGAGGAACTTACACTAGGGAAGATAATAAGAGCTGTAGTACCTCAACCTTGGCTGCTGCTCACCAAACACTCTTGCTTCATTTCTCTACACAGCATTGCAGTATAGAACAACACAAACAACAGACATCAAACTGTCCACCTACTGTAAACTCTCCATTGTTGTAAGGTGTGTACAGGTGATTTTATAAAGGTGTAATACTACTAAGCTGTGTGTGGCTTGTGGTACTGGACACACCTGGTGGTATTTGGAACATCTATAGGTCTTCTAGCACTTTATGGTACACTTTACCCTACATTACAATAATCCTAATGATAAACAAATCATATACCGTCTACATATCCATATTTTATTACTGTATTTATACACAAATACCGTTCAAGTATGAATATAAAACACACTTACTAAACACACCCAGTAATTATGCCTGAATGTATTATTTTTGTGCATTTTCATATAATACAATCCACTTAAAACACTCAATTTACACTGCACAATGACACAGACACAAGTTAATGAACAAATATGTAAGTGTTTCCACCAAAATATAAACAACCACATCAACACACCACAACCATTGTCAAGTTTCACAGTACAGTACAGTATAAGGCTATTTTCATGTTACAATAATTTACCCTTCTAAGGTAGTTCGCCACTTAAATACAAAGTGCACTTAGTAACTTTTTTTAATCCTTACACATAATACAACATTGTTGTGTGTATTGGTTACTTACCTTGTGGTGGGATGACATCAGGCGCGGGATGGGCGGTGATGATGATGGTGCTGTCCGGTGCTGGGGGCGGCGTGGGTGAGGCAGCCAGCTCCTGCTGCTGCCTCTCACCCTCACCTGGGGGCCTCCCTCCTACCCCCGAGGACGCCTCCGAGCCCTCACCGTCGCCCGCTAAAAAAGGCTGTTGCAGATGCGGGCGTGGTGAAGGCGGGGCGGGGGCGGGGGGCAGCGACGGGCTCTGCTGGCACTGACGCTGGTCCTCGCACTCCGTCTCGGGTGAAGGCGGGAGGCCGTCGGCTAAAAAAGGCTGGTGAGGCATATTACTTGGTGGCTGTTGTGGCAGTGGCTGCTGGAGACGTCCCAACTGAATGGGCTTCTTGAATTTTTCTTCCGCTTCGTCCCATTCATAACCTTCTAAACACGTGAGGCCTCGTCGGGTTCTTTCAAGAGTCTCAGAGTGTAGGCCACCAGTGTTTCTGTACTGGTTAGTGTTAATGCGTCCCTCTCGGTAGTCCACTGTGTACTCGTCTAGGTGGAGCTGCTGCAGTCTTTGGTGGTTTGTCTCTTCTGCAACTTGTGATGGTTTGTTTGGTACACTCAGTCTGGCGGGTGGCCTGCCCTCATTACTGCCATCACCTGGCCGTCTTGGTCGCCCTTCGTCCAGGGTTTCCAGTGAACGAGTGTGTCTCAGGGAGGCACGGCGAAGCTGTTCCCGCCACTGGCTATCATCTTCCCAGTCCTGCTCCTCTGGCAAAGTGTCGTGATTGGTAGGACTGCGAAGGTCGAGGTGACTGTGTGAGTCATGGTAGGAAACACGACTAGCAGAACTTTCTTTACTTACTAAACTGTCACGTTTACCCACTTGATAAGGAGGCATAGGAGACATTGGTAAAGGTGAAGTTGCATATGGTGAGGTGGCCCTCTGAGGCAAACTTCCACTGCTATGCAGACTACTAACAGAAGCTCGTTGACTAGTCAACTGTGAGAACGCCCCACGATGAGGAGTAAGTGTAACAGGTGGAGGTGAAGATGGATCAGAATGAAGAGAACTATTTGGGCTTGCTCTCATGCCAAGTGGCACAGATGAGGCAATCTGTGGAACTACAGGCTTTGCCCAGTTTGATGTCTGAGGTAGCCCACTAGCACAGCCCTGCTTCATATCCATAGGAGCTGGTACATTACTGGCCCCTCCCACAAATGACCGAGGTGGGTCATCAAGCAAGCCCTCTAAAGACCGAGTTCTACGGTGGCCCACCGGAGGGCCTGAAATAGGGCTGTCAGTTTTGATTGAGAGACCATGAGGGAAAACATTTTTGGCATCTAGTTCTGGGTCTGGAGTATATGCACGTCGTTTCATTTTTCTTAGGGTGTCAGAGTCATAAACATTACGTTCATCTGGGGATGACACTGTCTTGCCTCCTAGAAACTCTACTGAAGTTCTCAACTCATGTGCGAGCCTCTCGCGTCTTTGTTCAAAGTCTGAAGCACTAGTAATCTGATTGACTTTTCTTCCAATGTCTTGCCTTTTATTTGCCTCAAGATCACGCTGATTATTTAGTTGATATGATCGTGAGCGTGGAGTGCCTATCATGTCCTCCGGTAATGTTACCCCATCATCACGAATTACATCAGAGTAGTAGTAAGGCGCAGAGCGTGGACTGGTCTCACTGCCCACAGATGCATTAGAGGTTGCTCTCAAGTGAACTGGAGCCATGTTGCCCCCACCTGACACAACACTAGCTGTTGGACTCACCACACTCCGAGATGAAGTTTCTGATGATGTTCGTTGATGACTCACATTGAGATGAGCTACAGGGCTGTGCACCCCACGAAGTGCATCAATCATAGGTGACCCTGTTGGTTCAGCATTACCAGGCATTGTCTGGGGAGAGTTCTTTCTCAACAGGGATGTTCTTGGTGCAGGAACATTTTGGTAAGCTGAGAGCTCACTACGTTCTGCATATGGATCAGGAGACTTTGGCCGTGATCCAGTGGAGTTTGATCTCTCTCTCTCTGGTTGTAAAAACATCTTTGCATTTGGAGGAACATTACAATACTCTCTACCAACGGGCACATTTTGATATGAATTGATATGTGGTCGGGCATTATGCTGAAAGCCTTCATTTACATATGGATTTTCAGGTTTACTGGAAGAATAAGAAGTATCTAAATTACTTTGGAAGGAAGAATTGTGATCCAAAGCAGATTTTGGTCTGGCAGAGGGTTCATGTTTGTCCCCTGGAAGAAGTATGTCTTCAGCACACTGAGGGAAAGGTTTCCGTCTGTCCCTCTGGAATTTCTTCTCGGTTGCAGGCATTGTACAGTCCTCTGGGTATGCTGCTGATGCTGGATATCTGTCCTCAGACCTTAGGATAAAGCTATCATCATCGTGTAGACTTTCAAGTGTTTCCTCAAAAACTGGTCTTCTCTTTAGCTTATCTGTATGAAGACTAGTTGATGAGTCAGATTTTTCATATAATCGTCTATCTTTTCCTATTGAAGACCGTGAAGAATTCAGATCTTCTCTAAGGCTGCTCTGACTGACCCTCAATGACCTTGAAGAGCTCAGAGCATTTCGTAAGTGTGGGGGAGGATCTGGAGTTTCCAGATTTTCAAAATCAAAGTTTTTAGCTTTGGGACCTCCAGTGTCCAGCTCATCCATTGGTGGTGGACTCATCGGTATAGGAGGTGGGGGGACAAGGTCAGAATCAGAGGAGTCCTGGGCATCTGGATCACTAGATGGCTCTGCCCCACTAAGGTAATATGATGCTGGCCTGAAAGTGTCGGATAAACTGAAACGTGGGTTGCGAGGAGGCTCGAGGCTGTCTAGGTCCTTTGAGGCTTCGTCATCTGCATCAGAAGAAGCGTTAGACGGAGATTTCAGATCCAGCTTACTGAGTGAAGAGTTTAAAGCAGAATCTGATGGATAAGGTCTATCAGTGCTTGACTGTGCTTTGAGATCATCAGGTTTTTCTGGAATTTGAGGTTTTTCCTCTTCCAAGGGGCCTTCCTTTTCTGAATTTGGAACTTCCATATATATAGCCTCATAATGTGACTGTCCTCTGTATATGTATTCATAGTGCTGAGGGTCATCTTTGTCACCTATCTCATAATATCTTGGGCTCTCTGGAGCGAAGAGCTGCTCGTTAGTAATTTTACTGAAGTCAAATCTGGGAGGAAGGGGAGCACCTGATGCAAGGATTGAGGTACTGTTGGATGATGTGTCTCCACTCATCTCAATATATGTGTGTTCCTCATACTCAGTTTTTGCAAAGGCATCTGGATATACAGGTTCTGGTGTGGGGAGGTGTTTACTGCTGAGACTACTACATGAGCTGGCAGGGGCAAGAATACTTGATCCCTGACCAAGTTTTTTAGGAGGACTCATGGGCAAGTAGTTTTCTTCTGTATATGGATTAGGCCGCATTAAAGGGCTCTGAGGGTCACACGAAGGAGGAAACATTGGAGGTGGAGGAGCTTCCTCCTCTGGAGGTTTATCAAGGTCAATAATGATGGAAGTATCATTATCAGGAAGTGGATAGTTGTGTTTCTCCTGCTCACTATTAAGAGTAGTGTCCATCCAACTAGGCTCTTCACCTCCACTATCACTGTCCTCTTGAACTTTAAGAGACTCCTGTATGGACTCTGCCAAACTCAGCCTCAGATATCCAGGGGTTACTACTGCATCCATATCTCCCCCTAAAGTTGGTTTCTTTGGTGGTCGAGGTGGGGGAACAAGAGGAACCATATCATCCTTTTTACCATCTGCAGACCTTCGGAGTTCAGCTAACACAGAAGACGCGGAAGACAACGCTACTTTCTCTGACCCAGGAGTATAAACATCTTCACACTGTCCTTCATCACTTGAACTTTCATTTGACAACATTTCTGAATCACTGTGGAATTTTTTCCTTGACACATCTTGATTCATATTGACTCTCTCCATGTGTTCTATTGATCTCTCTTCAAAGTTCTTAAGAAGAGCTTTCACTGACCGTGGCTGTGCTGGTTTCTTCATGACGGGAGGCTTGATTGGATTAATCGGCTGTTCATGATGTTTCAGTTCTTCGGGTTTGTTATCATCATCGAACAAAAATTTTCTAATATTTGTTCGGCTCAGCCTCGAGTCCATAATATCTTGTGGGCTTCTCAGTTCTCTGTACTCTATACTTGAAGGTTCTGAACTTGAGTTGTACCTGAGACTTGTTGAAGGACTTTCCTCAGAGGCTGAAGCCCCAATCAGCTCATCTCTTCTCTTGTATTCTGACACATTCTTGACCTGTGCCTCTTGAGCAGTGACCATAGTGGACTCTGAGGTTGCAAACTCAGCCTTCAGGGGAGAAACAAGTGCTTCTGAACTTCTGACTTGAGGTGCAATAGGTTTTAAAGGTTCTTTGAGTGGTTCTCTCATTATGTTCCCAGGATGCTCAATACAATCAACATTGGTCATCTGATTATCTACTCTGGACTTAGATTCATTATGTCTCGATTGGTTGATTTGTGATTCTCCAATACTTTTTACATGATTTTCTTTGGTATCTAAAGCCTTACCAGTGAATTTCTTTATTCGGTCCTGAACTAGGTTCATCTGACTTTGTGTCTGATGTTGAGTTTCCTGCACTATCTTTGGACTCTCTAAGCAAGGCAAAATAGGCGTGGATTTCTTCAGAGAATTGGACATGTTTTTAAAGTTCTCTTGTGGTGTTGGTTCGCGATTCTTCTCTGGGGTGATGTATTCATAGCTATATTCTTTAACAACCTTCGACTCATCAACCTTTGATTTTAAGTCTGGGCCCATCGTTCCCCATGATCTATCAAACTTTTCTGGGCTCCAAGTTTCTGGCCGTCTCCCAGCACGATCATAGCCTCGCCTACGGACGACACTGGAACATTCTGGGCTGCTTTCTAAACTATCTGGACTCCACAAAGAACCTCCTCTGACATTTATCTTTTCATCTCGACGAAGAGACATTTCAGCCCGCAAGGTATCGTAACCACTGTCCGAGTATTTACCAGTGGATGTGGTATCATCTTGTAAGACACTTCTTTGGGACACGTGCAAGTTGACACCATCTGCTTTGTGGGCAGCATGGGAGTCGTATGAAGAGTAGCCCACTGAACTTTCAAGACTTTCTTCTCTTCCTGATGTGCTGTGAAGAAAACTCGTATTAGCTTCAGTGGTCGGTCCTCTTTCTTCTTCGTTGTCTCTCTGTTCATAGAAATTGCTGTTTAATTGGTATTTGTTTTGTGAAGAATTCTGTGTATCGTACGAGGTATTTAAGTCCTTGCTTAACCCCATATTAATAGGGCAATTAGCAGTTTTTTCTTCCTCAAATTTAGTATCATTCATGGCCGGCATTTGTACATCGGACACATAATACGGGTCTCTCGTTGCATAAAACTGATCACTGTACACATAACTTTGTTCATTCTTTCTGGAAACACTCAATGGTTTTTCTGTTTCCAGTTGCCGTAGTTCATACTTTCGCACTTCATCATATTCTTCATGTTTTTCAATAAAAACTGGCTCAGCTCTCTGACTCACTGTCCGCTCATTGTACAAATTTTCAACATCAGAAATATTTGTGGTCCCCCTGGGGGTGCTGAAGTGTTTACCCTCACGTACTTCATTTACAATGTTTATGTTTACATAATCGGGGCATGACATGGTAGTATCTGTAGCAGGTAACTGTTGGGGCACATAGTGGTCACTATTGTTCTCACTCACATTATCTCTAGAACTTTCTCTAAAGTCTTCAGATCTTTCTTCAGGATCACATCCCCTACCCTCTAAGGCAGATCCAATCCTCCGGCCATCGCGGCTCAGGTCAGCACTGCTCCTTCGAGAGTTACGTCTGGTCCTTTTTCGTGTTTCACGCTCCTCCAACATATCTGTGGGCCATATCTCGATCAGCCACATAAACATGGCATCGGGATTAGTCTTCAATGTTAGTAAGTCTTCATGCTTCTAGTAGTGGTGAGTAATTACTCTCATGTCCAAGAAAGACAAGCAACAATGATCAAGGCAAAAGCAGCCCTTGCATGCTTAGCATTGTGCCGGGTTAAACAGCTGAATTCTGGTCTCAGCAGATAGATGATTAGTTGGCAACAGGCAGCCTCCAGACAAGCTTATTGCAAGATCACTTTGGTCCATGCTATGGCCCGAAATTCACTCCAGGTAAAGATTCATATCCCAGGAAATCTAAGCAAGATCTGAACATGCCACTTGAAGACCTTAACTTTACCAACTACGAAACAAGTTCAGGCTTCTAATGCTTCCAATACAGGTACGGAATGAGTCACATGACAGACAGACACATGTGTGTTCTATCAATGACTTGCTATAGAATGCCTCAAGTGTTTTGTTAGTTCAAAGAAATTAATGACAAGTAGTTATATTATTCTGACAATAAACTGTATTTCAAGTCATATAATGAAACCTGAATCACCAGTAACATGCAAGTATTTTTCTCCAGTTCATAAATCACACAGAAATTTACAAAGACTCTGTATGGATTATCACAGTTCATATCACCACTATTAGATCTACCATACCAGAATTTCAGTTAGAGTAAAGTTCTTAAAGAGAATATGTGATACTTAATGTCTCAAGACACTTCACATATACCACTGTCAACTTAGAAAGGCTACAGAAGATACCAAATACCACCAAATGCCCTGAAGCAGCAATGTGTGAGTTTCCTACCACACTGTGTTAGTAAAGCGATAGACGAGGATAAATTTAACAAAGATACACGTACTCCAGACAATACAGTAGTAAAACAATAAAAATAAATATGTTTTAAAACAAAATAAATTACCATTAGTGAAATCTGATATGAGATATAGTATATGACAGGCCAATTATAAAACACGGTGCACAGTACTTACCATCTTCATCTGATGAATAGCTGTTGTATCGTGAGGCCGAAGTGGATCTTCGTGGGTCACCTCCGCTGACGTGCCGGGTCCTAGAGTTCTCTCTTCGTCCTTCTCGCCTCTTGTTACTACTGCTATCTGAGCCCGGGTGTGATGAGCCACCTTGAGGGGCTGGCCTCTCAATAAGCATTGCACTGGCTGGACTTATAGCACCCTGATTCACAGAACCATAGTTCATGGGTCCCTGATTTGTAGGATGATTACAAGTTACCCAATCAGTTTGATTTGATGGTCCCTGGGGGTGACCTGGCACTGCACTTGCTGGGTAACCATGGGGCATGCCTGCCATGGATCCCAAAGATGACTTTAGTCCTGACTCCATGCCAAGTAAAAGACTCTGGGAGTGAGCATGACCTTGCATAACTTTTGTTCTGGCTTCTTGAGTCACCAGTTCATTCAGCACCTGTTGTGGAGGAAAAAATCTATAAGACAGAGTGAAGACCTTAAATAAATACTGACAAATTCACATCAACTATTTTTGATGTGCTGTACTGTACTGTACTAATTTATTTTATTACCACTGCTTTTAAAGGTTTAAAAGAATAATAAATTTAACACACAAAGGTTGGGAGGTAAAGATTAAACAACATTCAGTATAATACATATATTAATTGGCTGAGCAGTACTGTATAAAGGAATATGAAGAAGCATGCAGTAACTAATGTGCATGAGGAGTTTATATATACATCCTGACAGTAGAAATTTATAAATTACAAACTGAGGACAATATAAAGAATCACCCATAATAAGATCACTGAGATGGAATATAGTGAACAGATGGATTCATTATACATCTTCATGGTATTAAAACAAATATATGTCAGCATACAGTATCTGGTTTAACACTGCAGTATTATTGCAAAACATAATCTATTTATCAATAAGCATGTGAGTTATTCATTTCTACAGCCAAAGAAAAAACATTTAAATCCCATTCAGCTGAATAAAAAATCAATAGTAAAATCTATCATATTTCTCTTATCCTTTTTCAGTTACACAAACCTGTTGTCTATATGCCTCATTGTTTGTCCGGGGCTGCGGCATAGCAGTTGCATCTGGACGAGAATTAGTCTTGCGTGTTAAAGGAGACTGTAGCATGCGTTGCTTCCATTCAAGCAGTCTTTTCATGGATTCTTCTCTCTGTAAAATAAAATACAGTAAATCATTCTGAACATTGCTGTAATCAAATATACAGGCGGCCCCCCAAATTCGAGGGGCGTTGGGTTCTCAAAATGGCCGCGAATAACATTTGCGGACGAGGGGGGGGGGGTTACATTTTTACTTGTGTACAAGGAAATGTACATTCCCCTATGTGTTTGCCCTTAGAACAATTATTAATTTTACCTGGAGTATTTTAAATGGAGTGTGTGTGTGTGTGTGTCTACACACACACATACACACTTATTTACAATACTGTACAGGAAAAGGAAATTACTGTCTCTAGAACGAATGACTCCCTGTCCCAGCCGTGAAAATGATGGCAACTTTAAAACTACCCACAGACATTCTTGGGTACATCCAGGGTGTCATCCTTGAATAACCGAGAACCACGAAGTAAAAATACGCGAACTTGGGGGGCCCCCTGTATATTATGATTTACAAAAGTATCTAAACATCCAATGAAACTAGTAGCATAGAATAATTCCTGCAAAACTGCTTATAAAGTGTTTTAAGTCACTTTAAAGAAGTAATAGGCAGGTTTGGCCTTCTATAATACTGTACTGTACAGTAAATTACTGTATATGTCTTACCTGTTGCAGCTTCTTGCTGTCTCCATCTGAGCCATCATCTGGCAAAGAAGTATTCATCATATCATCCTGTAACCGATGACGAGGTAACCTTGCTGACGCTGATCGCATGAAATTGTTATTGACACTACCATTTGGAGAAGCACTATTAGGGTAACTGCCTGGTGGTGTAGGAACACTGTTCAGAGTAGTATTCGGTGAAGTCTCGTGTTTATAGAGCTGCTCCTCGTGGTTGTATGTCCGACGAGGGTCGAGAGAGGGGTCCTGCCGGTGATTCTGCCTTGTATCTGGTCTTCTGTCTTGTCGACCATCTTGCCTAGGCACGTGTCTTGGGTCATGTCTGGGAAACTGCCTGAGATCTGACCATGCATCTTGACCACTTTCTTGCCTCGGAATTTCTTTTAAATCTTGGGTGGCAGCACCACGCCTTAAACTATTAGTAGAACTGGTAGGTGTAGGGGTGGTAGATGGTTTATGTGGAGTGTACAGGTCAGGTGTGGTAGCACCAGCAGGTGGTACACGCTGAGGTACACCCCCAAGGGGATTATGTACATGATGGTGATCACTGCCTGGACTTTCTCCTCGTCCTGCTGGAGAATATCGTGAAGCAGATCTACTGTGCATGTGCGAATGGTACAGCGATGACTGTCTCATCTTCTGAGCATAGTTCTCCTCCGACCAGTGGTCTAACTCACTCTGACCAACTGAAGACTTTGGTCTCACTTCATCAGGTCTAGGAAGATCCCCACCACTACCACGCCGATAAGACCACATGTTGCTATTACCGTGCCTGCGGTCGTAGTCGAGGAAATCTGCACTATGTGGGCGAGGAGGTCCCGGTGGGCGGTGACGGTGATGAGAGTCCGGATGAGAGACTCGAGGAAGAGTGTCGTCTTGCCGACAAAAGTTTGATCTTACTGGTTCTGAAAGCTGTAGCTCTTCAGACAGTCTTGTTCCACCACTTCTTGAAGAAGCGAAAGAATCTCGCTGGTCCGGTCTTCGAACAGGGCTATGAGGAATAGAGTTTGACCCGTTACTGTCCCCATAAACATCTTCATAGTCTCCACGGCCTCCACCTGCTGTCACCCCATATGCATCTGGCGTCCTTCGCTCAGCGGCAGGAGGGTGATAGTGTAGACCTCGACCATCTGGAGTGCGTGATTCAACTGTGCCATTCCCACCACCACCACCACCATGATCAGTGTATGTCCGTGGATCCCGTTCGTCTCGTTCTGGCGATCGTTCTGGAGAGGTACTATAATCCCGGGATGAGTTTAAACGCTTAGGTTTGGGTGGTGCATTGGCATAAAGAGGCTGGCGGTCCCCAGGCCGTAAGATTACAGATGAATCACACGATGTATTCAGTCGATCACCCTGCACACGTGACGACTCACTTGCCTGCAAAAAGGATTAAAGTTTAATTTTGTATTTCTGTTTGCTGTCATCACTAATTAAAAACAGATAAAGAGAGATCTGATTATGGTTATACAAAATAGCTTTAATGGTGATGAGTCAAATTAAGATGAGTACAAGTGTGACTAAGCACTACTGTATTGGTAAACAACAATGTTGTCATCGAGGTTTGTTGTACATAACAGAGAATTTTGCTTATGAGAACAAGTACATAAGTTGGTTAGCAATGAGGCATTTGAGTCATTAAAAAATATCTTAACTACAGCACTCATATCAATGGGGCAGCCTAAAAAAAGAGGTCAGTGTCGTCTGTATCTATTTAAAGTTATTAGCCATTTATATCCACACCACAGCTCAAATGCAAAAAGAGTTATCATGTTTAAACTAGGCAGATATTCATAATAGTAACCCCCTAAAGTTCCTTTGATTGCCGGGTCAAAAACTAATAGGTTGGGTCATAAATTTGAGAGATGCACCAACTGGTAAGAACTGACATCATCCTTAAGTTCAACATATTTTTTTCAGTCCATAAAACTGATACAATATACCCAAGTACAAGCTTCACTGAGCCCCTAAAGCAATTTCACTTAAATTTCTCAAACCAAAGAAACCTTCCCTAGTTCATCTTCCTTTTCTAAAACCACTTTTGCATTGTGATAATCCAAATATTCTGGTAGTTACTCCTGAGCACCGTCTAATGTGGAACTACTGAAGGTTCAATAGCCTACCATGTTATCTAGAGTCTCCTTGAAAATAAGATGTGGGACGAATTGGTAGTCTCCATGACCTTTGACCTTCCAGTTCACCTAAAACATCCGAAAACTAATCCGGTCTAGAGCTACAAGAAGTGTCAGTTATGTAAACATGACCAATGTCCATGTACTGAATTTACTCGAGATAATTTATCTACAAGATCAAGATGAATGGAAGGGAGAACGAACAAGCATAAATGTCTGCTACAGTATATACTGAACTGCCTTACTCATACTGAGGGATGTACAAATAATCATGTTACTCACACATAAGATTTTTACTTGGTACATTGTAAAATTACAGTGCTCTATATGGTAAAGTTTTACTTTCGGACAACATGGGAATCCTAGAAATGTTATCTTTGCAATCAATAGTTCAGACAATTCTAACATACTTTTTTTCTATGACGTTTCCCTCGCAAATGACCTGACCTAATCTCCTAACTGGGGGGGGGGATGTCTGTCCCCCCCCCCGGCATATGTAAGTAGTTTGCGAAGAAACGTGATGGAAGAGAAGTGACTTAGATAGTGGAAACTACTGATTCCAATACAGTAGTTAAATTCCTAAGATTCCCCGGATGACCGAAACTAAAATAATACCCATTATATATAGCGTTAAGTGACAATGGTACACACTACCCACAGTAAATATTGTTTTCCCTTTATGACTACTGTAACTGAGGGAGAGAATGAGTGTGTGGGTGGGTGTGTGGGAGAACAAGTGGCATATTGTACTGAGCTTTAGTCTGGTTCAGTGTGTGGACCCTGAGCACTGGCCACACTACTAACAGCTACATTAAGTTTGACTGGATTGAGCTTATTAGGAGTTTAGGACTGGGGCACATTACCCCAGTCTTAATGGTTAGATTGGAATCTACTAGAGCTGGGGTCTAATACTGTACAGCTAGACTCCAATCCTAGTGGATAGGTTGTTAGCTACCGGGACTGGACCATATGACCAGAAACAGTGTGAGGGAGGGGAAGATACTGACCTCGTCGAGGGACCTGCCGTCAGGTGACCGATGGTACCTGCGGGAGCGGTACCCGTGGAAACCGGAGTCGCTCTCGTCTGCCGAGGGCGAGGCCGTCGACGCCAGAGACGACACAGACGGCCTCTCGCTGCGTCGGGCGCTGCTCCCGCTGCTCCACTTCTCCTCCAGGCTGTGGAACAACACACGCAGTTAAAACAATGCACCACTACTTAACGACGTTACTCATGGTCTCCTTTATATAACAATGACAAATATATTTTGTATACAACATAACAATACACTGCCATGCCAGCAGTACACTATTACACACTGTTATTAAATAAGACAGTAATAACATTTGAGAAAAAATATAGAACTAAGAACGCATGAGCAGAAAAAAATTAATTTATCCTTAACATCTGATGACAAGCATAATACCACCTAACACAATTTAATAAAAAAAATATTCTACGCACTTCTTATAAAAGCATCTGTAATTTTGTATCGTTAATTCCAATACCGGTATTACACTTGTCATGTCGCAATACATGGCCAAAAACTTCACAACTTGGCAGCGAGGGAACATTACACCATCTAACACAACTTCACAACAAAAATATTCGAATCACCATCACCACGCACGAGATATATTTCACTTTGAATACAGAACAAGATAAGTCATCTTCCCTCCCCCACCATTAATGTATTCTGAGGCAGGGACTTCCGATCCTCCCGTGAGACGACTATTAAACGCAGAACAAAGGCAACACACACACACACACACTCGGAGGGGAGGTGGGGGGACTTGGTCATATATTCCATGTGGCGCACCTGACCGACTAGTTTTTAATACACTGGGGGTTAAATTGAACACTGGTGTCTTAAAATTTCATCATCATATTAAAACCAGAGAAATATCCAATGGCTGTGGACTAGACAGCTTCACCTACACCTCTATCCCGATTATTGTAATGTTGATCAAAATAATTTAATTAAGTCAACATTCTGGCTGTTGTTAAGTTGAAAAAACAAAATACGATCATCTTCAGGTGTCTGGTCAAAATAGCAATCTCAATTGTAATTTATGTTCGGGTTGGGACGCATTAAAACTGGGTCCCATTACGACTGGGGCCTATTATGGCTAGAACACAATACGAGAAGGGTTTGGTAATTACGACTGGGCCCCATCTGACCTACAACCAATACGTTATGCTTTCTTTGTTAAGGGGAGTCTACGGTGGACGCTTAGTGGAGAGAAACGTATCATCCAACAACACACTTCAGGTTGTGGGTGAGGCGGCGGCAACCTGACAACAATGGCAGGTGAGGGAGGGAGGGAGGGAGGGAGGAAGTGGAGGTCAACCCCTAGGTGGGAGTGGTACCTGAGGGGAGGGGGAGGGAGGGAGGTGTCATCCTCAAGGTGTGGGTGGGTGGGATTGGTACCTGGCGGGAGGGGTGTGCATTCTACAGGTGTGGGTGGGGTGTAGCTGGTATGAGGGAGAGAGAGGGGTGGGGGGAGAAGAGAAAGCAGAGGAGGGAAAGCGAGAGAAAGAAAACAGGGAAAAGTAGAGTGAGACAAAAGGGCAAGGAATGGAAGAGAGGGAAGGGGAGGGAAGTGGAGATAGCTGTCAGAAAAGGAAGGGAAGGTAGAGGATGGAACAATAAGGGAGAGAAGGTCAGAAGAGGGAAGTAGAAAGGACGGAAGGACTAGGGAGAGGAAGGGAAGGGGTGTAAGGGAGGGGGGGGAGGTCGGTGATTACATCATTTTACTCCCTCCACACACACACAGTAGCTGCCGGGAAGGTCAGTGGCTGCAACATCATTACCATCATCATCATCAAGAAAACAACAACCACCACCTCCACCACAACACCAAGGGCGAGTATCAAGGCTCTTGTGATGATGATGGGTGCTTGAACAAAATCCAGATACCAGCATAAGTGGACAAATCATCTCAAGCGAAGGTTAAAATAGGTTAAATTAGGTCAGGTTAAGCTTGATTGGGTAATGTTAGGTTAAATCGGACATGATTAGATTAGGTTTAGTTGGATTATGTTAGCTTAACCCAACACCAACGCATCTATACACTAAATTCATCCTAACTTAACCCACAAATCATCAAACACACACACACACACACCCGCCTCTCCCTCCCTCACTCAACAAACCCAACACAGCGCCAACTAACTCTGAGAAAAGGATAAAAAAAACTAATGACACACTCCATGCGCCAGGCAGCCCAGGGTTCACACGCTCACTCCTGGCAGCGTGCATTGGAAGAAGTTCTCGTTACTTGAATTTTCGTTGTTAACTAATTTGATAATAAAATCGACTTTAAAATTAAAATCACTGGGATATTAAAGTAAAAAATACATATTGGAATATATGTGTAAATTCCGTAATAAATATATATAGAACCGTTGGAAATTTAAGGATATTTTTCTCGGGTACAAGGTGAAATAATAAATCTCGAGGGTTACGTTGCAGAGCGAGCTGTTCGTTTTGTCTTGCCCGCGGATACAAATGATAAGACGTCAAGCAGTCATTGTAATATGCCTCACCCCCTTGTGTGGTTCTCTGACACTACCTGAGTTATGATACTATTAACACAAATGGTATTTGTTTATTTCGTGTAGCAGACGATTTAATTTTATTTACGTTACTTAAAAAAATACAACTTTCCTGCTTTTTAGTCCGTGTACTTTTAACACGTGATTTCTTAATATTTGAGGTAACTTTTTTAAATACTTTTGATAATTTGACGAATCTAATCAGTTCACGTGAAGAGAGTTCTAGTACATGTAAGGTGGTGACGTGATAAGTAGTAATAAAACGAGTGATGACGTGATAACTGATGAGTGGTGACGTAAAGAGTAATAATACGATGAGAGACGTGACGAGCGGTGACGTCAGATGTTTTGACATGACTCGTGGCGGGGAGGCAGGCCATTGTTGACGCACGACCCTCGGCCTCCTGCCCCTCTCTACTTCCTCCCCCCCAGTCGTGTCATCAATAGCACCGTTTCCTCTTAGTACCACGTCCTGGTAAACGATTTTGGCGGAACAATACGTTGAACCACCGGTGGCCTAAATCACCGTCAGCAAGAGTCGTAAAAAACAAGAGTAAGATGACACAACGGACGAGTATTGTTGACGTCATTTATAACTTTCTATTTTATGTGTTTAGTAAAATCACATCAGATGAGACAATAGACTATTAGAGAGTCCCTGTCGAGGTTAGGTCCTCCGTGCACGTGTGAGGTCCTCCGTGTATATGTGAGGTCCTCCGTGTATATGTGAGGTCCTCCGTGTACGTGTGAGGTCCTCCGTGTATATGTGAGGTCCTCCGTGTATATGTGAGGTCCTCCGTGTATATGTGAGGTCCTCCGTGTACGTGTGAGGTCCTCCGTGTATATGTGAGGTTCCTGTGTACGTGTGTCGTCCTCCGTGTATAAGTGAGTGCCTGAATTGCCATGTACATAGTATAGTAGAAGAATCCGAGAAAAATAGATTTGAGGACGCTGGTTAACACACACACACACTTTCGTCAATGTCCCTCTGGTGGTCTCCACCAGTACTAACATTATCATCTAATCCAAGTTAGTCATACAGTAAATCCCTCACTACAGTCAAGTTAACACTATTAATACCGACAAAATCTACTAATTAGTTTGTAGTTTGAGTAGAAAATGTTAGAAAGTAGACAAGTAGAGATAGAGACAACCAGTTTACCCCAGATAACTTGTTTACTAAGTACTTGATGACGGACAATGACTCCTGATAACAGCAGCATCACGTGGTTCACCGTTGCTGGGTGTTAAGCGTGGTGCTAAACATAGTAGTGTGGGATAACGTTATTACCTCGCTGACAGTTACCTCCAGAGCAAGCGGAGGAACAGGACTCGTAATAAACTGTGAGATAGAAAGTTATTGCTGAGTTCTACCTTTAACATATCCATAATGGTTTAATTGTACAGGACTTTGTTTATATTAAAAGTTTATCATCTGGAGGGGTACAGCTACCACCACCCACCTCACCTCAACACCCACCCATCACCTCAATACCCACCATCGCCCCCTCCCCTCCCCAGGGTCGTCCCACACCACCAGTACCCCAGACAATTTTTTTTTCTCCCGCAGGTGTCACCCTCCTCCTCCTCCGTGTATCCATAATGGATTAACCTGTTGAGATTTACATCAGTTCACCTCCCAGGGTTAACAATTACGTGTGACAATGTACATACCGATGTCATAAGAGGTTTGTGATGACATGACTATTACTACTACAGGACATTCCACACACATGAACGTAACCCATTACTAAAACTCCCTATTGTTAGCCGGAGTTTTAAAATACATATAAAGTCGTGCTCGTAGGTCCTCCCCCATGAGATGATGTTGTTGAGAGTTTCTAGGAGGAGGAAGCACAAATATTAACAGAAACTCTAACACGAACACACACAAACACACACACACAAACACACACACACAAAAACCTCCCACAAACACCCCCACACACCACACAAACATCCTCATAAACACACACAAACATCCCCACAAACACACACAAAGAGGTTCCCAACTACACATTCATTCACAATGCCTCACCTCAGTACACCTTGCATACCAACCTACTGTACCTACCACCACTTCCCTGGGATCGTTCATGCACACACACACACGTACAAGGAACAGCACCACTATATACAACGACCTTCTGGCATTCTTCAAGCTTTAGTTTATTGTGACAGTTATTTTTAGATAATTGTAATATAATAACCGTTGTTTTTAGTATTACAGTGTTAGTAGATTAAAATATTTGTGTTTACTATAATATTAATTGACACTCTTTTGACACTGTATATAACTATTACTCTTGATAAAATCGCACGGGGAAAAGGGAAACAACGGAGACATCTTCAGAGGCAACTGGATTTTATCAAGATTTATCTTATCCACGTTTTCATTGTGGATCTACATGAAATAACTATTAATATGATAATTAAGCATAGGTACACGGAAGACAATTGACCCTGTGTTGATATAATTAGGTCATTACAGGTGATTATCACAATAGTACAAATTCGTCTCCTCATGTAAACGATTGATCGCAGTAATTTGCTGGTAGTTAACCTAAGATAATTACCCTATTATTTAACGTAGTTGCGTCAGAAATAATTGTATGATAGT